ATACCTAAATCATCAAATTCACGATCAAGCAGAGCAAGTTGAAGCCTTAGCCCTTGTAAACGCCCTCTGGTTGCAAGTGCTATTGATGGTGGCATATGTAGCCTCAATTCAGTGTGACCAAGAAGGCCACTGGCTGCCATAGCTCGAGCTTGGGCTTGAGCCTGAAGTTGTTGACACGTTGCGTACATCCTTAATGTTGTAGCCATCAAGAAGACACCAAGCACAAGCCAGAGCTAAATATGCATTTTCAGAAGAAGAAAATGTCAAGTTTTGCACCAAGGGTAAGAGTAAAACTAGTCTACAAGACACCCACATTGTGAAGTATGGAACTCACTAGAAAGTTTGGCGACATCTGGTGAGAGTTTAATATCATGAATAACAACAGAACTGCAACAAAGCCAAAGAGTTAAAAATAATGGAATAGATAAAAATTATCACAGAAAGTAGACACCAGTTCTAAGCAGAGGTGAAATGGTACCTGTGACAAGAAAGGCAAGTGAGTTTGAGTTAACAGGCCGTGCTGCATGGACCCGCTGATTGGGAGAAGAAAAAGAAACATTTTCAAGAAAAATCTTGAGATAATTAGAAATATATATAATGCAATATCTAAAATTTGCAAGCATTGGCAGTGAACAAGTCAATTCAGTTAAATATCAAGCATACCATTGCACGTCGCTCGGGTATAAATCCAGATAGACCATTTTCTATATCTGGCACTCTTGTTCCACGGAAAACAAAACTCATGTCTGAAGTAGCTGCGTCAGTTAGTTGAACTCGGGAAATATGAATCTACAGAATCCAAAATCTTATGGTAATAATCTGCAGAATCCAAAATAAAAGAAAGAGGCTCCAATATCTAAATAGATATAAACTGAAAGTGCCCGCATCTCCTTACTACAACTAACCCATCATTCATCTTTCTCAGCCCTCGGGAATAAATGGATTATTCAGCAAATAAATAACATAAGAAGCAAATTTGAAGAATAAAAAACTCGTGGCCTAAGTTTTGAAATCCCTTAACCCTATAAATTTAATGCCTAAATAAACCCCTCAACAAAAATATAATCATGAATAATTTCAGAGAGTTAAAAGTGACGCATTCGTACACCACGGTTTATCCAATACACGTGAAATTCAACGAGTAATTGTCCATTGTCATCTTAGTCTTAAAATTCGATGCATTAGCCACATTCATGAGCTAATCATCTGCTAAAAAAAGCTAGCACAAATTGATTGATTCTTCCAGACAACATAGACGACAACACATTAATCCTGAAAACCCTTTAAGAAATGGAACTGCATTGTCTGAAAAGATATCCAGAAGTACACAAGACGTTTCCCCTTCATCTGGGCATCCAATCAAAAGGGCACCAAAAGACTGTAAGATTACTGCACTCAAGTGCAAGATTGAGGTCTCTACTCAAATGCAAATGCCCAACTTAAAAGCCAGAGCTGTCGGTCGATTGTATCAGATCGATTTTAATTCTTTTTCCCTCCTAAATTTCTCAATTCTCAACATTCCCAACCAACTTCCAAAGAGCGAAAACTCTAATCAGTAAACAGAATCAGACCGACACAAAAATCGTACAACGATGACAGCTAAACAAGTGAAATCCAAATGATCAATAATCACTTCAGTAAAGAATCCCAATAAAAGAAGGCAAAAGAAAACGGCGATCAGCAAATAACGGAACCTAGAAAGAGCCTTGATGAGAGAAATCAGATGATGGGAGAAGGGGGTAGAGACTTACAGAACAGAATCGAGTCAATGGGGTTGATTTTGTTTGTAGTGTAGGTCCAAAAGCGACAAGGGATTGCTTTGAATCGAAAAGATAGGATGCTTAATTATGTAGAAATGGGAGACACGGCTCCGTCGATGGAGAAGATGAGGGAGCGAGTCGAGGTGACTCGGACGCGTTGAGTTGCTTGTGAGTTGTGACCTGTCCGCTCTGCAACTGTTGAATGCACAAAACGACGTAGTATTCCTCTCGTCAAATTCTTGCGCCTGCTTTTGCATCTCTAATCTCCCCAAAACGAATGACCCGATCCACTCTATGGGATCCTGTCGTGTCATAATTTACAAGTTTTTATCATAAACTTATCCAATATATAAGTTTTTAATAAGTCTACAATTTCTTTCGATCGTAGTTATATAGCCTTTTTTTTTCATTTTATAAATATTTAATAGGCCTATGCTATTAATTCCAATTACTGATACGATCTCACAAAATACTCTTATATAATTGTTGGAGGACACAACTTCCCTCTCCAAGATTCAGAGTGGAGCTGATTCTAATTTCCTACGTGGTCCAATAACATATATACAAGTGAATCACACAGAAATTATATAAAATAAAATAAAAACTTGTTTACATGCTACTTGACCACGTAATAATTCAGGAGCAACTTCCTCCTTAATTGAGGGAAGTTTTTTCCTCTTAGATATACTTAGCATATTGCATGAGCATTAAAATAAAAAGAATTAACATTGAGATTTATTAAGAACAAAATTGAAAATTTAAAAACTTGTAATTTGTTTGAAGGTCTATAAAACATAAGAATTTATTAGACATAACACTGTTAACCCTTGTCACGAACTTCTAATTTAGCCTTTTTTTTTCCTTAATGTCAGTACAATTTGATCTCTAGGTATCTATTTATAAAGTTGCAGCATGAGATTTCAGTTTTCTTTATATTTTCATATGCGAAATTTAGTTTAAAAAATAAATAAAAATGAGGTTGTAAAGTTTTTGTTCTAAAAAAAAGTTTTTTCCTTTCTTTTTGTGAGAGATGTTTAAGAAAGAAAGTTATTTTATTTTATTTTATCTATGATAGTAAAGTCAGAGAAATAGAGTTTTTTCTTAGTGAGGGATTAAAGAAAGAAAGGTGAGAAGAGAAATGGACAGAAAACAATTTTAGGTTCAAGGTTTGACTGAAAAGAACATAATATTTATTTTTTAAAAAAACGATCAAAAATTCTAAAACCAAAAATTGATACATGAATGATAATTTCCCACAATTCTGGGCAATCAAGCAAATGGAGCAAATTTGTTTCATTTTACTTATTATGGTAGCCTAAGGTTTTTTTTTTTCTTATATATATATTTTTATCTACTATCGACTAACCTATTGGTTCAAATACATACCCAATAATATATTCACTCGAAGTCATATTATCAATTCATAGGAAATAGATTTAAATTGTTGTTCTTTAAATTATACAATAAACTTGAAAATGTACCAAACTATATAAGAAATCTTAAAAAATTTAAGAAGTAAAGTAGGATTTAAACATCTTCTTTTTACTTTCTTGCAGTGCAGCGATGACATCATGTCAAAATGAATTAATGTCTAAAATGACTCCATTAACATAAATATTTAAACAATGAAACCATCTCAAATATAGCAGAACAATTGTCTTAATCAGAGGGGTCAAATGAGACAACCAAACCTCAAATTGGTTGAGGTCAGGGTTGGAGATTGGGGATTTTTTTTCTCCTTTAAAAAGGTTCCAAATAATTCTAAAATTATAGTGAATCATAGAGAAATCATTTTTGCAAACGTATATTTAAAAGAAATAATCAAAATCTTCTCCACAAGCAATTGTTTGTTTTTTTCACGTAGTTTCCTATATCTTTGATATAACATTTTTAAATATATCTAAAAAATATATTATGAATGAGTAATCTCACTTAGAACCCTGAATATTCAAAATTATTATAGTCCTAAAATCTTAAAAGATTTATTTTAGTTATTGCACTTTTCAATATTATTTGTTTTTTTTCTATAAACTTTCGAGCATTTAAATATTAAAAAAAAATTCAAGATCTTGACTGTAGTTAAAAAAAACATACAAAATAGAGAACGAAATTTACAACTTTTTAATTGGAGATATATATATATCAGATACAGATTTGACAAAATCCTTTAGCAAAATAACGAGGCCGGAATTCAATTTACGAAGCTGATGATACCTACATGGGACCCTTATGCTAATACGACGGTGAGCGGTCAGAGATAGTTTGTCGTTGACGTATGCGTAACAAACACTCCAAGCCTTATTCTTCTGACGCGTGTCCCATTTTATTGACGCCGGTCGATTGGCAAATTAAATTACATCTTTCCTTTTAATTTCAAAGCAATCCACACGTGCGTGCTGCCCCACGTGATCTTCATCTCACGTGATACCACTCCATCCACCAACTTTTCCTATTTTATCTTATCAAACTAAAGTTTGCATCTAAAAATCTAAAACCGTTCGTTCATTCATTCTTCTTTTTCTAAAAAAAACTTTAATACAATTATGTAACACATTCCGCGATCCAAACCATGCCACACTGAACGAGACATAATCAATAGTTAAAAAAGTTAAAAATGGGACGGCTGGCGGCAGGTGGGGAATTGAGAGGCTGAGCTGAGCTGCCAAATTAGCCAACTTTTTCAAAAGTCAGAAGTAGCGAGTAGGAGAAAAAACCAACACTAATCAATAATGTTTGGTCATATTTTTATATATATCTATATTATGTACAATGCTGAATTTTACCGAGTCCACTGACCCAACACCAAACCCAATAAAATAAAAATAAAAAAAGAAACAAAAATTGGAACAAAACCCAAGAAACCACATTTAAAAAATTCTGACACATCACCACTACTCTCCAATGTTTTTCAGAGAATCTCACAGAGCAATCAAATTAAAATTAAAACCCTCTCCTGTCGTTTTAGGAGAAGAGGAAGACCCCGTCCTTGTCATTGTCCGATCAATGGGCCACCCCTATTGCTTAAGGTGGGCCATGGATTGGACCCAAAACCAGGGTCCCATTTCAAAGGCCCAACCCGAGCCGTTGACCCGCCAGGTCACACCTCGT